CCCCAAAACCCCAAAACCCCAAAACCCCAAAACCCCAAAACCCCGGAGTTAAGAGTAGATTTTGAATTATAAATTATAGTAATTTGGGTTAAAGATGATATTTTTGCTACTATTGGTCCTGCTTTTGGGAGTTTTGGCTAGAGCAAATCAATGTAGAGATTGATTACAGAATACAGGATCGGTTTATTGAGTAAATCCGTCTCCAAAATGATACGCAGCGGGAGAAACGTTAGGTTCTAGCTTCAATTGTACTAATGAAGAAGGGATTGATTATAGATCTCAGTATCTCTTTTGCAACCCAGATACAGAATGAGGGGATCAGTTCTTTGAAGTCAGCCAAAGTAATAAATCCAAACAGATACAGATGCAAGGGATTCCTAAAGATGGACTGTGATGGTAAAATATGCTTCTATGTTTCTTTAGGTACAAGATCGATACTACGGATGATATCACCAATAAACTCCAAGTGATAGTTAGTAAGCTACCTCAGCTAGCTCCATAGCATCAGCTGAAGACGTGAACATCATGTTCTTCTCAGAGAAATCATCAAGGAATTATATTTTCGTTGAGAATCTTTACACAGGGTCTATCTTTTACAGAACAGCTGATAGAAACACAAGTTTTTACATATTAGTGATTCCTGCTAGCAGCAATTCAAGAGCTTCATTTTATCTTGAGGGAAGTTTCGAAGTGTAAGATCGCTTTTGATTCCATAGCATGGCTCCAGCAGATTCTCCAGATGAAACAGACCAAATAGATGAGCAAAAGAAAAAGCCAATAATGCTGATTCTGATCCTTGTCGCTTGAATCATTATTATCGCAACTTTAGTATTCAGGTTCATCGCTAAGAAACAGAAATCAGAATCCCCAGAAATTTCTGTTATTCAAAATATGGATGGCCCTAGACCAGACTCAGTTGAGCTTGAGGATCAGCCAATTTAGCATCATAAAATAGCTAAATTGATACTTCAATCTTGAATATTTATCCCGGGGTTTTGGGGTTTTGGGGTTTTGGGGTTTTGGGG